AATTAAATAATTTAAAAATAAATATATAAATGGAACTTTAAATAATTTGGCTTTTTTTTTTTTTTTTTTTTTTTTTTTTTTTCCATTGACTTGGAAATGATCATCAGAGGTCGTGAAGGCTGAAACTCAGACGTTAAAGCCTGGAACTTTGAGAAGCAGTTTCTCCTCAGATGTTGCAGAACTGAGCCGCCTCTCCCGCTCTCTCTCTCGTCTCTTCTCCTCTTTCCGAAGACACAGACACACAGTTTCGTCATTCGTTCTTCTCTTCTTCACCGGAAGCCAGCAATCCACTTCCTGATTTGCTTCTAAACCTGAAACCCTAAATCCCCATTTCTTCTTTGCTCACCTTCTCTACGCGCGGAACCTAAAACCCAAAACCCCAAATTTTACCATCTTGTTGGCTGCTTCTTGCGTCATCTCCGACGCCACCAGCATGGAAATTGATTCTGATAATGAGAATCAGAACATGAAATCAGCCGAGGGAAGCACTTCAATGCAGACAGATACTCAGGTACTATAGTTTATGCATAGCTTATCTGATTTGGGATTGGATATTTAATATCTCGAATACGTCTATATTCTGCTGTTTTTCAGCATCGGGGTTTCTAGTATTTGAAATCGAGTGTTCTGAGGCTTAGTTAACTCCCTAATGCTTGATGATTTTTGGTCTATTATGGAATTGGTAATCTTTCAGTCTGTCTTCAATTGCTTTCTTTGTTGGTTAAGTGTCGTCGTTCAGTAGATTCATGGGCCGGTAATTAATCTGCCATCCGGGACACTTTTCTCTGTCGGCTGTTGGGTTTTGCACCGTCCTCTCTGTGGTTTTGTTTATCTATTTTGGGCTTTTGCATGTGTAAACATTGTCATGGTTTGGTTTTTCAATAGTTTTTACATATGTTGCCTTGTAAAAGGAAGCTCGAAGTGGACTTGATTTTGGGAAGTTATGTTAGGTCTAACGTAGGTTAAATGAAGTCATAGTTTTAATCTTCTTTTGGCAGAAAATATCTGAAATTTAATTAAGATTATAGTTTTCCTTTTCTCCGCTCAAAATGGCTCTTCTTCTCATGAATTTCATTGGCAATTTTGTCTTCATTTATACTTTCTTGGTTGAGTAAATGATTTTAATCGTTTGATTTTGTTGTGAAGGGCACTAGCTCAGAAAATTCTGAGCTATCTGAATCAATGGACAAGCTGAATATTGGTGGGCGGGCTCGGTCTTCGTCAAGCAACTTCAAGAGAAAACCTGTTATTATTCTAGTTGTTGGAATGGCAGGTAGTTTGATGAAGTATTATTTTTCCTCCAACTATGGTTATATTTGATTGACTTCTCATTGGACCATTGTTATTTCTTCCGTGAGTATAGCATCTGACACCTTTTTGGGTTGCTTAGGAAGTGGAAAAACAACATTTCTTCATCGTCTTGTTTGCCATACACAAGCATCAAACATTCGAGGTTATGTGATGAACCTTGATCCTGCTGTAATGACTCTTCCTTTTGGTGCAAACATTGACATAAGAGACACTGTGCGGTACAAGGAAGTGATGAAACAGTTTAATCTTGGACCTAACGGTGGCATTTTGACATCACTGAACTTGTTTGCTACAAAGTTTGATGAGGTAAAGTGTTTGTGGTGTCAGAATTAGAGGATTTTTCCACCTAGGATGTGTTGGTTTAAGGGATTTTTATCCGACAGGATTTTATTTTCAGATGTAAAAATCATCGTCATAAGTATTTCTTGTTTAGCAAATTTGTTTTTTTGAGAATTTTAGAAAGGGTTTTTATTGAAGCCTTATGACCTCAAAATGCATTTTCAACTACTCCTTTGATCTCCATCTCAACCTCCTGACCTGTTTTCATAAAGCCCTTTCTCTTTCTTGGCCACTTGACCACCACCTATCAGTTTGCTAGGAGCTCATGTACATACTGGTGACATTGTTGCAGAATCCTCTCATCTTTTTTTAACTGGCAAACTGCCTTTTCAAGAAGTCAGTATGCTTTGGTTGATGAATCAGGAAATTTATTGCATGAATAGAAAGAATTTTTTGTTTTTGTTTCAAGGGATGGAAACTTAATCTATGTGATGAATTAGAATTCAAACAAGTACTGGAAAAAGCAAGGAAATAAAAATGAAGTGTGAGGACTCTTATTAGGATGATATATGTCTTGGTTTTCTATCTTATTTTCTTCTTCCTTTGAAACTTCAAAATCAGGTTGTTTCTGTTATTGAGAAGAGAGCAGATCAGCTTGACTACGTTCTTGTGGATACACCTGGTCAAATTGAGATTTTCACTTGGTCTGCTTCAGGAGCTATAATCACAGAAGCTTTCGCTTCAACTTTTCCAACTGTAATTGCCTATGTTGTTGATACACCTCGTTCAGCAAGTCCAATTACTTTCATGAGCAATATGCTTTATGCTTGTAGTATCCTCTACAAAACGCGGTTGCCACTTGTGCTGGCATTCAACAAGACTGATGTGGCTAAACACGAGTTTGCTCTGGAGGTATTGCTTCTGTTGCATTTTTTGGTGATTACATAAATGAATACACTGAATTTGAATTTAGTTCATTGTTTATTGCTTAACGGGTGGTACATGTTTAAACCTGCTGAATCCAACAAGTCCTTATCTTTTTGGGTTTTGGAACAGTAAAAAAAACATTGCTAACCTAATTCCATTGACTGTTTTTTAGGTGCTTTGGAAAGAAAGGAATGTTAGAGCGGTTGAGGGTGAAGTTTGTGGGCTTTAAAATTTAAGGGATAGATGGATGCATTATTTTTGGATCATTTTGTTAGGTCATAACATTATTAGAAATGAAGATTTTGGAAATGTCATTGATACACTACAAAGGGATAAATAGATAGTTTTTGTCTTCTAGAGCAAGTCTGAATATTGGTCTTGTATTCTTTTCTTAATTTACAGTAAGACATTAGGAAGAGGTCTTTTCAGTTCTATTAGTGTGATTACTTAGGAGAATATAGAAATATAATTTTGAAACAGTTTCTAGGTGTATCCATTGTGATAAATTTTCATATGCGCACATCTTACATTTTTGTTGTGCTTCTTTAACTGGCAAAGGGGAGGTCCGCACTTCATAATAAATTTCTGTGCATGCAGTGGATGCAAGATTTTGAGGCATTTCAAGCAGCAACTAGTTCAGATAACACGTACACATCAACTTTAACTCACAGCCTCTCTCTAGCACTGGATGAATTCTATAGAAATTTACAGTCTGTTGGGGTATCTGCGGTTTCTGGTGCTGGAATGGACGCCTTCTTTAAGGCCGTTGAAGCAAGCGCTGAAGAATATATGGAAAACTACAAGTATTTCCTTAACTTGATTGTTTTTTTACTTTCTGAAGTACTGTTACTAGTTAGCATGTTCCTTGGTTCCCTAACCTATAGAACCTAGAAGCCAGATAAAATAATCAAATTTCATGTTTGTACTGTAAATATTTGTTTCTCTAGGGCTGATCTTGACAAGAGACGAGCAGAAAAGCAGCGCTTGGAAGAAGAGCGCAGGCACGAAAACATGGATAAGTTGAGAATGGATATGGAAAAATCCAGAGGAGAAACTGTGGTTTTGAGCACGGGTTTGAAAGGACAAAGATGGCAAGAGCAGAACATTGATGGAGGAGGAATATAAAGAAGGAAGAGATGATGAGATGATTACGAGGCGTTAAGCGAAGAGGAGATTATATAGATGAGATGATATGATGAGATGAGA